CGAGGGGGGCATCGGGGAGCGCGACGGCCACGACAGCGGCGGCGGCAGCGGTCGTGGACCCGCGCTGTGGTCGGAGGAGGTCTATATGAATGATATGGACACGGCCCCGTCGAAACGCGCGGGTTCGCGCGCTCTCCGGGGCCGGCGAGAGGGGGGTAGGGGACAGGGGGGGGAAGGGGGAAGAAATAAATCGATAGAAAATTAGGTACTTACCCGATCTCCAAGACGCATACAGCGCCGTGTTCCTACGCATTGCGCGATCCAGGAACATCCGCTATTGAGGCGGGGCGTTGGGTTTTGAGGTCGGCGCGAGGGGGACGTCGGGGACGGCGACGGCGACGATGGCAGCGGCGGCAGCGGTCGAGACGGCTCACGCATGCCGGAAGCGGTGCCCGCACGTCCGAGGGGTTGGGGGAGGAAAACAATGGGGCGTGTCGGGGCCGTCCAGAGCCAGCGCGAGCATCTGAGGGGGAGGTGGGGTGGAGGGTGACAGAAAGTGAAATACAACGTCGACGAGGGCGAACGTTCTCGACGTTCGCATCTCGCCGACGTCCTGGCACCCGTAGGAGCCAGGAGCAGGCGTCCGCTTCACAGCGGACGGCCTGGGGAAAGAGGGAGAAGCGGGGAGGGGTCTGGAGGAGGAAAAACACAAAATCGAAGATTGTGGCAGAACGGGTGCACAAATCTGTGCACCCTTTTCTGCCACAACTTCAGAATAGGTTCATAAGCAAGAAACAACATCGAAAGCCAGAACGAGCGGGCGTTCTGGCGTTCGATGTCGAGCGACGCGCGCGCGACGACGACGGCGACGTCGACGGCGACGCACGTTCTACAGCTCAAAACGCACCTCCTCGCGCTAGTGTAGCACGGGGAGGTGTGTTCTGACCCGAAGACGCCGTCCTGGCATCCCCGGGCCCGCCGCAAAACGGGGTTGTAGGGAGGGGGGCTGAGCCCCGGGTAGGATCGCGAATAACTCGACGACGAGACCGCGCGCTGCTATCGCGCGGATCTCGTCGTCGTCCTGACTCCCTAAGGAGTCAGGAAAAGCCCTCCTATCCGAAGATAGGCGGGCGGGAAAGCGGGGAGGGAGGGGAAGGGGGAAGGGCTTGAAAAAAAGAAAAAACGAAATAAAAGAAGAACGGGGCCGCCGTTTTGCGCGGCCCCGGTATCGTTCGTTTCCTAGCGTTGAGGCGAGTCGGAAACGACGTCGAAACGCAGAACGCGATGGCGTTCTGCGTTCCGATGTCGGGAGGAGGGGGAGGTCGGGCAGCCGCGACGGCGGCAAGTCTTGAGCGGGCGGGACGGCGCGGATCGATCCAAAATGCTAGGGACGACCTCCCAGGAGGTCATCCACCTGTAAGAAAACATAAAAGAGCTAGCATGACCTGCCTGCGCACAAGCGCGAGGCGGGCATGCCAGCCCAAGCATTAGACACTAAAATATCGAAAATACACATATTTGCGTACCGTTTGCCCTGTCCTCAGCTCACGTACCCTCCTAACTTCGTATCCCCCACCCGTTAGGTCAGTCCAGTGTCGAGGAAGCGGCCGCGTCGTCGTCGAGAGTGCCGGGAGCAAGCAGGAGCAGGACGCGGGACTTAGCATATCGCGCGCGTCGGCTTGTCTCCGAGGCTGCCTCACTCGGGCTCTAGAGTACAAAACAGCGTCAGTAAAGCATGGTCCCTGGGGTTTTCATACCCGCTGAGCACGATGAGACGCTTACCGAAGCCCGACGCTGCGTGTATCGACGTCCGCGAGCGACTTTGCACTCGCGCCACCGCCGCCGCTGCCGCCACCGCGCGCGTGTGGCTGTGTCGCTGCTTTAGGCAATCGTCCTCGAAATTCAACCAAATGAAAATTTCTCGTTCTCTCCTCTCTGTTTCTGCCGTCTCGTAGCACTTTCGTAGTCTGATAGATTATTAGCCAGCTAGTAATGTCTGATTCCCTTAGTCCAGTTTCCTCTGCTCCTACTTCTCCTGCTCGGTCTGCTCTGGAGTCTGGTGCTCCCTGCTCTCCTTCGGAATCCACCACTGGCTCTCCTGCTCCTGCCTCGCCCCCTCCCGATGCTCCCAACCACCGCCCTCGTCGTCGTAAGATGCCTGTTGTAATACGGAGGCCTCGTGATGACACGCCAGAGGACGAGGGGTCTCCAACTGGAGATCCTGCTGCTCCTGCTGAA